CCCTGTCTGCCCATGCCTAAAACCGCTACTGCTCCCAGTCCCAGTAATGCAAGCACGATCATACGCCCTCTGGTGGCCACATGGAAAAACTAACTCCACGGTCGACTTTTAGGGATTTTATTATTAATAGATTCATTTAAGTTACTAATAGGTCAAATTAATATGTTTAGATACAAACATTTTACTAGCATATGTTTAGTTTCTAATACATGTCAGATATTAAACTATTAGCTCAAAGACAAATAAATTCCTAACTGCATGTAATAAACACACTCAGACATTTATACTGGCACATTTTTTTTAAAGGTCCATATTGTGTTTCGAATAGGAAAAGCATTCATGTATTTGGCAGAGCGTAGGTGGAAGCGGGATTGACCTACTGGGAGATAGCTGGGTAGCCTACCAGAAAGCTGTGAAAGAGGCGAGAATTAAGTTCTTTGCTGACATTATTTCCTCCAGAATCCTCGGGTTCTTTTTAGCACTTTGGATTCTATTTTAAATGCAAATGAACCACTGGCTATTGAGTACACTACAGAATCCTGCAATAATTTCCTCAACTTCTTTGTGGACAAAGTGGGGAGGATGAAGGCTTCGATCACACCCTCCAATTACCACCCTCCTCTGCGGGGTCCTGCCCCAGGGCTCCTAGAGAGCTTTTATCCAACATCTCTCATAGAGTTGGAGAAGGTGGTCAATAGTCTAAAACCATCTGTCTCTGTATAGAGCTCCGGGAGTTGACGTCACTTCTCCCGGCATGCAACAGTTCAAATCGAAATGGCGCCATATTGGCAGGCAGAAGCCCGCAGCTGGACTATTTGTTATTGTCAGAAAACTCAATCAAACGGGAAATATGGTAGATTCCTGTTGTGCCCCAGGATGCAGAACAGACGCGGACGACATAAGGAATGAGCCATCTACAGGATTCCCCAAGATCCGGAACGCCGCAAACGTTGGATCATTGTAATAAAACGCGCTAGTGACCGGGCTAAAATGAAACTGAGATCCCGAGAGTAAAGATTTTCGCTAATGCAGCGACCACTTCATATCATGTACTTAAACCAACGTTTCCTCAACTGTGTTTGGTATTAATTTTAAATGCTTTTATTACGATTCTTAGTGGGCTTCCTAAACTTATTTTGGCGTGGCTTTTTCTGTCTTATTACTCATAGCAGCAAGTAAACATCACGTAAAACGTTGGCTCGTGAGTTCTGCGTGCTGCCGTTTACGTGTTTTATGATGACAGCAATTAACCGGCTAAGCTGTATTTCATTTTAAGCAATGGTTGATCAATTGTCAGATCACACATAAAAAGCACTTTGGATAGCTATTACCTGCCTCACCGAGACAGATCTCAGACAGATCCTGAGACACTCCTGCCTGACATATTTATTTTATTCACAGAAAAAAATCAAACTAGTTATTTCTCTTGGTGTTCAGTTTATACATTCAAACAGCACAGCACTCTATTTAAACTACTTACATGTAAATCTGTGTTATTTGTCCATCCATCCATCCATTTTCATCCCCTTATCTGGAGTCGGGTTGTGGGGGCAGTAGCCTAAATAAAGAGGCCCCGACTTCCCTCTCCCCAGCCACTTGGGCCAGCTCCTCCGGGGGAGCCCCAAGGCGTTCCCTGGCTAGGTCCGGTAAGAAGTCCGCTCCGACAGCTTCTGGCGTTTTAAAAAAGTGTCCCAGGGGCACAGTAAGGGTCGGAGATGTTTAGTCTATTTAATTTCTGACTACATAAAACGAATTCTTTGGTTTTAACCATCTGAGGTCCACGGACGTGTATCTGCGTCTTTTGAACAGGTCTGATTTGGGATGCTGTAGCAGCAAGACTCCGACTCACATACCCCCCCCCCCCCCCCCACCCACACACACACACACACACACACAAACATGAGATCCTTTTGCTGTTGGTGGAAGTCTCACATATTCAATTGATAAAAAGTATCATTATGTAGCTGAGAGAGAGAGGAAGGCCGCACGAGTAACGAGATGTGTGCAAAAAGGAGCTGCTACGCGGGGAAAGGAGTGGCGCGAACGGAGTAACAACAAACAGACAGTTATTGACAGTAAACTTCATATTTTGGAGTGATCCGGACAGATATATTGTCTCTGCAGTGTAGTAGGCTTTTGTTAGGCTTTAATAAAGGATGATGAGAAGGATAAATGTCCACCAGGCAGTTCAGATAGTACGGCTGTTTTTTGAACTGGAAGCAGAGGAAGTGGACGGAGACTCACAGACGGAGTCTAAGGCAAATAGCGAGGATGTTGATGACGATGTGGCAGATCCATCCTTCCTCATAGAAGAGTTAGGTCATGATGAGGTAGAGGATGAAGGCAGAGATCCAGCTCCTCGGAGATCCAACAAGAGGAGTGGGCGGCGCCGCGCAGCTGACAGAGCCACTCCCCACTCCAAAATGCATGTACATTTTGCCAAATTAATAAAATAAGTATAAATTCAGATAGTCCAGGTTGTCCTGAAAAAAAATGATACCCCATAAGGCAAAATTTATTGTTTTTATTAGAAAATACAAAAGAAAAACCAAAATGAGTCAAAAACGGTGATTTACACCCTGGACCCCAGAGGGCTAGTCATTCTTTGAAACATTTGTTATTTGCTATATTTATTCATATTTTTTTTATAAATGTACAGTCTAGATTACCATTCTAAATTGTAAAAAACATTCGTCATAAATGTTTGTTGGTTTCACAGTAAAATAAACAACTTTTTTTCCAATTCAGATTTTAAGTTTTTGAGTGATTTAAGGTCTAATATGCAACCCCTTTATGTCCAAATATAAAAAAAAATAAGTATAAATTCATAACATCCAGGTTGTGCTGAAAAGACTGATGCCACATAAGGCAGTGGTTATGGTTTTTATTTTGGAAATACAAAGGAAAACTCTAAATTGGTCAAAAACGGCAAATTACACCCTGGACCCCAGAGGGTTAAAGTGTGAAATAAATTTTGACGAAGTAAAATCCAAGCCGATCCCGTTCATTTTGCTTACCTTTGCTGCCTGCCAACATGGCGTCTACTCTCTGTTACTCATGTGACATCCGGAGCTCTATAGGACGCAATCCCTGCTAAACTTCTAAAAGAAGTTTTTCCAGTTTTGTCTCCTTATGTTCTAGAAATTATAAATAGCAGTCTACTATCGGGTAAAGTTCACCAGCTCTTTTAAACATGCAGTAGTGCACCCTCTGCTGAAGAAAACTGGCCTAGATTCGTCAAATATATCTAACTATAGGCCTGCTTCCACACTGCCTTTCTTAGCTAAGGTCTTAGAAAAACTTGTGTATGCCCAAATGATATCTTCTACATGAAAATGAGATGCTAGAGATTTTTCAGTCTGGGTTTAAGTCTCTCCATAGTACAGAATCAGCCCTGTTGATGGTTTTGAATGATATCATGATGGCAAACGATTCTGGGGAGGCTGTGGTTTTGGTGCTCTTGGACTTGACTGCGGCATTTGACACCATAGACCACAATATCCTGATTGGTCGACTGGAGCACTGGGTGGGAATATCAGGCTTAGCACTCCAGTGGATAAAATATTACCTGTCAGGGAGGAATTTTTGTGTAAGACTAGGGAACTGTTCATCTGATACTGCTGATTTGCAGTTTGGAGTGCCTCAGGGATCAGTCCTGGCACCTCTCCTCTTTTCCCTCTATCTGCTGCCGCTGGGTGACTTGTTTCGTCGGCACAACGTCAGGTTTCACCTGTATGCGGATGACTGTCAAATCTACTTACCTGTATCATGCAATAACTCAAGTTCTTTTAAACCACTCTTGGACTGCTTGGAGGAGGTCAAGTTATGGATGGCTCAAAATTTATTGTTCTTCAACCAGAATAAAACTGAGACTATCCTGTTCTGCCCAAAATACAAACATGGATGTGCCCAAGGGATTGACTCTCCTTCATTAGCACCTTTTGAGAAGGCTGTGGTCACCAACCTGGGGGTGAAGTTGGATGTTGAGCTCACACTGGACAGCCAGGTCAATGGAACAATCAGATCCTGCTATTTCCATCTCAGGAGAATAGCTAGGATTAAGCCGCTGCTATCTCGTAAACATCTGGAAACTGTCATCCACGCCTTCATTACCACCAGACTGGACTACTGTAACTTGCTTTATGCAGGCATCAAGCAGGCCTCCATAGCGAAACTACAGAAGGTCCAAAATGCGGCAGCCAGGTTACTTACTGGTACCAGGAGATCTGAACACATCACGCCTGTCTTGGCATCCCTACACTAGCTTCCAGTCTCTTTTAGAATTTTGTTTAAAGTTCTGGTGTTTGTTTTTAAATGTTTAAATGAGTTGGCTCCACGTTATCTGGAGGATCTGATCCATCCTTATGTTCCCACAAGGAACCTTCGGTCAGCACAGCAAGGACTGTTGGTCGTTCCTAAACACAGACTACAATCTCAAGGGGGTCGTGCTTTCTTGGTGCTGGGGCCGAGGCTCTGGGATGAGCTACCTACATATGTTAAACAGGCCACCACGCTCGGCAAGTTTAAGAGCCAGCTGAAAACACTTTTATTCTTTAGCTTTTATTCAAGAAGAGCCTCGTTAACGGATAGCTTTGCACTTTTTGCTGCCCCACCTAGATTTGATCTGCATGTTTTTGTTGGCTTTTAAATGGTTTTATATGTTTTTATGTTTATTTCTGCTGTGCAGCGCTTTGTTTGGTTTTTGGGCCATGTGAAGGTGCTATATAAATAAAGTTTAGTAGTAGTAGTTGTTGGATTTCACAACAAATGGCTAAACTACTCAAATGAGTTAAATGAAAAACTATTTGGAAAACAGCGACTGAGAAACTGAATAAATGTTTGCTCTCAGCAGCTGATTTAATTTGATAAACTTGTTTAGTGAGATAAATGAATGTTTTACATTATATGCAGTATATTATAAATATATGGGTTAAAGGCAAAATTCAAGATACATTAAATTTAATAACCACATTTTTAATGACAAATGAAAGTAAAAGAAACACATTTCCAAATCACTTTTATTCAAGCTTTAACCTTCCAATAGATGATGCTTATTTGTTAGAGCAGTCCAGCATAAATACAAACAGCATTTAACCCCTGAACTTGATATGCAAAGCCAAAAAATAAACGTTATTTCAGGAATGAATGACAAGATTTTCAGTATTAAAAAACTATTGTAATTTTTCTTTTTTATTAATGATTTTTTTTAAGGATAAAGGGTACGTCAATTAATGGTCTGTGGAGTTTGAGTTGTCCTTTTGGGATTTAGGAGGAGGAACTGATCACATCAGCTGATGCTCTCATCATTCAGGCTGTTTTAATGCATTATTGAAGGCCTTACAAAATTGCCCTGAATGAACTAGGCTCAAGCCATTGGTTTGGATCTAAGTGAGCTTATTTCTGCCATAAATCTGGACTTTTAAATGTGCTCAATGGAGAGTTTGGACAGCCTCAAGTGTTCATGAGAGGAAGTGTAGGTTTTAGCACTGCTTTTGGTTTCTGCTGGGACAATAATTCCTCCCCCTCTACATCATTTTAGGTTTTTGTAATTGTGAAGGTTGAGTCATAATAGCTTGGAAGTAAAACAAAACAAAAAATTGAGATGTACCAAAAAGTTTTAAAAAAACTGGGGCTACATCAGAAATGTTAAAGAAAAAATGCATCACTGTGCCGTTGAGGAATCTCACGGATTCCTCCAGAGGTTTACATCTCACTGATAAACTGCTGCTGCCGTGTTAAGGAAACAGAAACACATCACACTGTTTAGTGTGGCTGCTTCTGCTCCTGCAGCCTGACCGATGCCTCAACACTGCCATCTTTTGATAGCAGCTACTGAAGAAGCCACTTCATGTTCAGGCAGCTCACTGGTCAGAAACACACTCTGCACTTTAGTACATCTCACCAGGAAAACAAATAAATAAAGGCAGTGAAGATCACTTTTTATGCATTCTGGCAAGGAAAAATCTCTCAGCTGAATCCTTTCTGCTGGCGTCTGGTTTCAGAGACCGGACGCTCCTGAACAAACGGGAGAGTTTCTCCTGGAGTTGATAAGTTAGAATCCCGTCCCAGTATTTACAAAGCAGAGAGCCTCGAGGCTGCAAAATCTTCCCAGCCAAGTCTATCAAAGAGAAACACATTGTGATGATTCTCTCGTGGTCCATGTCTCTGAAGCCGCTGGCATTGGGCGCCATGTCGCTCAGGATGACATGAGCCTGGCCGCCGGGGAGCAGCTCCTGCAGCTTGGCGTGCGTGGCGGGATCCATCACATCATGATTGGACAGGAAGTGGGCACCATCCAGTGGTGGGATGTTCAGGAGATCAATGCCGATTAGCGTGCCGCGTGGTGAGTCTGGATCTAAGATAACGAAACATGAACACTGCACATGAGAAGCTCTGATTTGAGTCATAAACGCTGATGGTAATACTTTAAACTGTACTTTCTTTGTTTTTTGGACAATTTATCAGTTTAAAATGATTTGTTTCTAATTCTTAAAGCACCCATAGTGGTTTTATTTGCATAATAGCAAAAATTATTTAGTTAAATTAATCTAAAAATGTCGTACTGGTGTTTTTTAAGCTATGTACAGTGTTTCCCCTAGGATTTTT